GGTAAAAGAGTAGCCCAAGAGTTGGCGGTGGGTGGTGATGACTAGCTGCCTTCCCTCTGCTAAATTAGGGACGGCTAGCGCAGATAGCCCTCGTGTAGCTTTGCGCAAAATTCAAAAGCAAACAAACAAATCTTCAGGTGATTGACATACAACGGTTTAACAGAGTTAATATATGAGTTTAAATTTAAACCGACAAAAAAAACAAAAAAACGTGAGTAATACAAGTGACGATCCAGCATTATTATGTCAATAGTGTTAAAATTGATCAATAAGTTTAGAAATAATAACAGGTTTAAAAAATTTTGAAAGAAATTTCACAAAATAATTCTTAATTTTACCCGAAAGTATGTTTTATTATTTGTTATTAAATAAAAAGGGCTAAATATAATTTTTTAATACGTGAAGTCAATAACACGGACCGTTGATTAAACCGATTAACAATATTGAAAGTAATTGTTGCTTACGTTCATTTTTTGGGTTAGACCCACTTTTAAAGAGATACAGAGGTGTGTCTGGCTGTTTGTTGATCTTATTATTAAAGTCTTCTTGGTTTTTCCAATAACAGTATTATTTTCAGGATGTAACATTTTGGTTGATTCGGTGAACTCAATATTACCACAGGCTTTAGAATGTTCAAAGACTAGTGATGTCTTATGTCTTATTATTAAAGTCTTCTTGGTTTTTCCAATAACAGTATTATTTTCATGATGTAACATTTTGGTTGATTCGGTGAACTCAATATTACCACAAGCTTTAGAATGTTCAAAGACTAGTGATGTCTTATGTCTTATTATTAAAGTCTTCTTGGTTTTTCCAATAACAGTATTATTTTCATGATGTAACATTTTGGATGATTCGGTGAACTCAATATTACCACAGGCTTTAGAATGTTCAAAGACTAGTGATGTCTTATGTTCCTTAAGCTTGTTCTCTTGGTTTCTACCGGTTTGCTTACGTACGAAATATTATATGAGTGACAATCTATTCGATGAATTGTTGTTATTACTACATTTCTCAGTTAACAAACTGCATCATTTTGTAAGAAACTTTATGTTGACATCTAAGTTATATTTGGGGGTGGGGTAACTTTCAGGTACAAGTTAATAATGATTTGGAACACAATCCTACACTTACCGTATAATTTAAGAAAGTTTTATATTTGCTGTGATAGAGTTTAAAACATCTTCACCACTTAGATCTATAACAAGGAAAAAAAGTAGTTCCTATAAAATAATTAAATGTGTACTATAAGCGGTAGAGTTTATTACCGAAGTTTACCGTAAAAACATCCGTGCTGATCTGTTCATTTCATGGCCGTCAGCACATGATTACATATAAATACTGGGTATTATTAAAACATTTTATAGTAACGCGAGAGTCATATGTAAAACACCTAGGTAAACTTGAAATAGCATCTAATGGAAAGTTCCACTAAACTCAATAGCTACAGACACGATCTAGTTAAACATTAAATATATCCTCGACAGAGCAGATAATGGGGTCAAAAAATATGCTTGATCGTTATCGTAAACATATTATCTTCTCTACACTACCAATCTCGGCCATAGTTTCTGTGAAGTGATGTAAATACTTCGATAGTTTGGGAATATTGCGTTGAATCATACGAGTTGTGTTCAGTCTAAGTTAAGCAGAATATTACTAAGGTGTAGTGTAAGCTAAAATACTGCTTAAACGGATCTTACTGTATAACCCGACATAGGTTATTCTATCAAGAATAACGACAGTTAGCTCTCGAACGCTGAAGTTTGATTGGTAACATTTCTTTTGCGGTTTTGAGCTATTTAGAAATGTATTGAAAGTATAGTTTTGAAAATTTCTGGAAAGTTAGGATTGATGAGTTATTCGGACGGATTTATTTACTGTAACTCTTTAAAAGTGGATCTAACCCAAACAAACAATCAACATTAGAAAGAATTACTCTCGGCCTTTTTAATCGGAGTAATCAATGGTCTGTGATGTTGACACCCCTGTTAATATTTTATATTTAGCTATTTTCATTTAATTGCTTTTGTGTAACAACGCAAATAAACGCGAATAGTAAAATATACTTTAGTGTAAAACTAAGACTTGTTTAATTTTAATATTACTGAGCATCACTTATACTACTTAAGTTATGATGTCGGTTTAAATTTAAACTCATATTTGTTCTCCTTCAAATCATTATATGCCAGTCACCTGAAGATGCCAGATCATCCTCGTGAAAAATAGTTTTTTTATATATATGCTTTTTACTTTCAGCAAACTGGAAGTTTATGTCATGTAAATTGTTAATGTAAAATATAACGATACTTTGAGATCTTCGTATAGAACTAATTAGAAGCGTTTCATTCTTGTTGTTTATTACATATTTGATCCAGTTTCTTATGATATATGTATTTTTATGCAAAAAATATAAATATTTCCTGTGCAATGCATAACACTAGCTATAATTTCATTTCTTTCTTACTAATAATATGGATCCCATAGGGCATAGTGTTTTCTCTTTTTGAAGGACTGTTACTGTGATATAAAGGTTAGAATATGGAATATTCCCAACATCTTTCACTCAACTTGAATCTTCATTGTATAGGCTTGTGATGATATGTGAGCACTATATAAACTTATATTCGATAGCGAAGTAAATAATCAGCTTAGGAGAAACTATATTTAATAAAAACAAAAGTAAAATTATATTGATGTATTCTAGATATCACAGTTGCAGCTAAAAACAGAAACTGGTTGACAAATCTTATATGTTAAAATTAAGTTTTTGGATTCCACTTTCTCTCGAGAATTTCTTGTGTTTACATCAGGACATTTCCGTAAAATATTAAAATTTACTGTGTAATCAAGAAAGGGATAAACACGAGTTTTCTGTATCACTCGAGTGATTCTTCTAACCTAAACTGTGTTTGTTCTATACATCATATGATCTTGCTGATTTGTGTTTTAAACCTATTTTACACTTTAATTAGTTTTCTATTAGAAGATTTAAGAATTACAATTATCCTACATGAACCGAAAGATTAGATGTAACGCTTGATTCAGCAGAATCACCGAATTCTTGTGTAAAGTGTTCCATATAATTTGTGCATGCTTTGGAAATGATTATATGCCATCTGAGAACTTAAACGTTTAATCAAGAACACTGTTGTTATTAAAACTCATTAAGGTTTTTAAATGAAATTTAACTTATTACCTGAGTAGTCATTAAGTGGGTCAAAAATAAATTTACGAACTTTCAACGCTTAATGCTCTCCAGTGCCACAGCGGTAAGTGTGATGGCTGATAATGCTAAAAACCGGGTTTCGATACCCAAGGTTGGTACAGCACAGATAGCTTATTGTGTAGCTTTGCGCTTAACTACAAACAAACAGGCAAAGCTAAAATTTGAGGTTCGATTCTCCGCAGTGAACAGAGCGCAGATAGTCTATTATGTTGCTTTGTGCTAAAACAGCAACTGAAACTGAAAACTACCCTATATGGAAACATTCCAATTTCCAATATTAATGATAACTTAGAGCCATGCATGTATGAAGGATTTTCATTAGAATATAAATACATTTCATACAGATATTTCACAACTGCTGTTCAGATAATTTTGTAGAGTATATATTAAAAGATGTACGTTCATTTATATTATTTATAATTACACCTTTATTATGAGTTTTAAAAGTTTAATATTGTTTCTCGCTAAAGTAAAATAAAAACAAAATAAGACACGCAGTTTCAGTTCAATTAGATTGTATTTTTCTTTCTTTCAAGATTTAAGAATCAATTAAATATTACAGCACAACGTTGAGTAAGGAACTTAATATTACAGCACAGTTTTTAGAATATAGCAACAAAGATATATTTCATCTAGCACTTTACATAAGTACCATCAGGCGTATTTAGCACAACAAAGACGTTTAAACGCAACATCCATTGATCTGAGCATAGATACCTTGGATTGTCATGTGCATAAGGTTCACATCGTAAATGAAATAGATAATCATGTCATCAGATTCTTATGCTGAAATAAAAAGTATTTTTCAGTCAAAGGGACACATGACTTAAAGAACCGTAAACACTAGCCAAATGTATACCAGCCTACGTATACCAAATGGTTTATTTATGTATATATCACTGAGAAGATATTAATATGTCAATACTTTGCCAATTGTAAGTAACTTGAAAATATTTTTACTTAACTGCCAAGTACGTTTAGAAAAATATTTTTACTTTCATTGTTTCCAAATATTACCTTCTTTTGTTTAAGGAAATAAAAATAATATAGCAAAAAAATAGACGAACATATCCTTACATTCTACGAAGTGTAACCTCTACTTTAGGAGGTCAAAGTTATATAAATTATACTCGGGTGTTTCTGATCCTGAAAGTTCACCAATTTTCTCTGGTTTCGCATATTCTACTTTATTCTCCTTTATTGGTAATATGATTATTAGAAAATTTTATAATTAATGTGAATGTATAATTTCAAAACAGAATAATTCTTAATAGATGTCACTTTTTCATTGATATGGTTGACAGTATGCTTCTACAACCTACGATACGTGATTTCATAACAAAATAATTATTAATAAAATATTACATTGATTTTTCTCGAGAAACTATTTGGTTCTTTTGAGAAATCAAATAAATTTTCGTAAGTCTCTCTAGAGTAAAATACATTGAGATGGAGACTATTCATATACCAATAACAGGGTAAGCCGTTCAAGAAAGGGTTTCTGAGCTGTGAGGATCGTAAAGCCTAAAGTAATCTGTTTGTACCTCAAAATAAGTAGGGAAGTTGGATTCATGGAAACATTTATTAACTAAATGAACGTAAGATTTTATGAATCTCATTTAAGAGGGGTAGATATAGGTGTTCTTTTATTGAAGGGGCTACAAATGCTAACTACAAAGCTACGTGTTTATTACTGACCTTAATATTTCATAGGTACACCTGAATGTACTAGTGGATTACGTTAATAATATATTATTAAAAAACCCATATTCAAACGTCTTTTTCGACTATATAATATGCAAATGTTTTCTTATTGCAACTTCAAACCCAAAACAGTTCTTTATGTTTTGCAAGTCAGTTACCATGAGCATCTTTCAAATATAGGAGTGGGACATTTTGCAAGGTGTTTCGCATTTCAGAGGAAAAGACGCCCTATAATGCACATCGAGGCAGAATAACCACCAAGACATCCGTGATGCGGAAACCGTAGAAGGTTATGGTCCAAAACTGTAAGGAAATATTCTCCTTTCGTCAGACATGTGTGGCCACCGTCGAGGTCTGGACTTGAGCCGAATTAGGATCTGCTGTAATGTAATGCTTCTGTGGAAATGTATTACTAAAAAATTGACCTCTGTTATTCAAATATACACCATGAGGAGAAGGAAGAGTTGAATGAGAATTCCGAAGGTAAGGGTTCGCATAGCCTGCATGGAAACGAGGATCTATTTCTTCCAGGTACTGGGAAGAGCACTGTAATCTGGCTAGTTGTTGTACAGATGGAGGTGTGTATTCTTTAGTGTAGTCGACATAAGGGACGTAGCCATTACTGGCTGGAGTTTCCTGTATCAACACAGAAAACATAAAGTAAATTATCTAATCTAATTCAGTATTTTCTTTAAGAAAACAGAGTATGATGTGTTATAAAAATGTTTTTCTATATAAGTATGTAATACTAAACGTGTCAAATATTGAGTTAAAAAAGTTACCAGACTCTCAACAAATTCATACTGAGTGAAAACCTTAATAAAAAGGTAATAGCTGGATTGAAATTGCCAAACTTTTAATCCCAAGTAAACAACATTTAAAGAATCGATCTTCCTTACTTATTGGTGTAAGAAGTACTTTTTGTAGCTACAATTAAATTCCGTGTGAATGAAGGAAAATAAACTCAACAATGAGTAACATATTAATGAAATGTTGCCCTGCAATAGACTATTCGCCACAAAAAGGCATCATAATACTGACTAATTAATTTATTCAATTTTTGTATTATTATAACACATTTAAGATAAACTGATTTTCGCTTAACAAAAAAACAAATAAAATTCAGGTTTTCCTATTATTATTTAGTGTTGGCTTGCAACAATATTAGAAAAACGAAATTGGCTTAGAAACAGCAAGAAGCTTTTAAAAATCATTTATTTTCTATAGAATTTTAACCTTTTTCTTCTATGAACTTGTGTCTAATTAGTTTGTTTACAACATCTACTAGACAAGCATTTGTGCTATATTTATCCTTGGTTTGGTAAAAGTTTGGCTTTCTATCTGTGGTTTCAGAAAACCCTTGTCAGTTAAAGTACAATAATAATTGAGTGTTAGTTGGTTGACAGTATGAAAAACAAAGTCACACATAACGGCTTGAGAGAAAAAACAACAATATAGAAAACAAGAATATAATATTCACATCAAGCGCTGTAACATTTAATAATATCTACTGTAAACTCAAGCACCGATTTCAAGTGCTTTACTTGGTTGCATATATGTGTGGGTGGGTGTTCTAAAAATATTATTTTAATCAACCATCGCAGCGAAAGATATAGCTTTCAAAGAAAATACTACTGATAGTCAAATGTTCATTTATAAGCAAGTGAGTAATTCTTTAATTCATTGTTCATGGTTTAACATTTTTGTCCTTTGAAATATATTTTGGCCAACTAAGAAAAATCTAGTTTAGAAATATTGGTACATATAATTAGAAAACTAGTGTAAAATGTATATTTTTAATAATATTTAATAAATTTGACGTTTAAAATTAAAAGTGTTTTTTCTTACCAAAACAGGAGTAAAGACTGAATCCGAGTATTCGGCTGGAAATTTATATAGGTCGTTTGCTTCTCGTGCACGGCTGACGTCATTTGTGATATTCCAGCCAGGATCGTTCTCATTGGATACTGACGATGTACTACGGACCTGAACTTTCAGCTCGTAATCTCTAGCAGATGTATCTGAATCTTTCCCTTTATTCCTTGATTGAAATTTTCTAACTGTTGAAAAAAATAAACAAAGAATCGATTGCAATAAATATCATTAATTTTGTATATTAACTTGAATAACCCTTCAAATCCAAAAACATTCAATTTCTTTTAAGTATTTATAAATAACTCTTTATACAATATAGATCTAAATTTTGTTCTACAATTTCCAGTTAACTCTCATTTTACTTGCACTCTGAGGAATTTAATAGCATTAGCATTTTGTATTCATGACATAGCTACGAAGACTGTCTACTGAGATCCCTAGTTTTAAATCACTGACCATCCAGCAGCACCTACCACCCACCATTCATACTATGGAAGTGACTGACATGCTTTGCTGTACGTACAGCAGAAACAACTCTACGGATTGTCTAGTATTCTACTTCACAAAATAAAAACTACATCAATTATAACATGTTTCTGTAAACATTTCTTAGAAAATACGTAATCCAAGATGATAAGTTCC